AATTCCCAACAAAGCCTCAATGGCTCAGTTGGTTAAGGCCGTTTGAAGCAATTTTTTTATTGCACTCCTAGATTTCTCTTTCCATATATGCGCGTTTTACTCTTTTTACCCCTTCCTTTAGCCAAATTACTTTGACGTATATAAGGAAATCAACAAGGTCAAATACAGTATTTGTTGGTCGGGCAACATCTATCAATAATGAAAATATTAATCTATCAACCAATACAAGTGATATTCATCGGTGAATGCGAGTTACCTGGAAGGAAATACAAGAAAATATCAGCCACAAACAACATTTACTACGCATGTTAAGGAAATATATCCATCCGAATATGCCCACGCGATGATGGATAAAACATCAAAGAGAGGAACAAATACGATGTAGAATTAGAGGTGGTGACGCAATAAAGACAAAATTTTTAATTATTCACACTGCAGCGGGGGAAACAGAAAAACCTAATCCGTATAAAAACAAGAAATGCTACTTAAACATCGCATAGTAAAATTATTCTTCACTTGATTTAAAAGAATATAAATAACGAGGTTTATAAAACCAGATGATAAGTAGAATCATTTTTCGGTAAATAAAATGAGAAAATGTCTGTATTTATATAATGCACTATTATAATTAGGTCTCACTTCACGACTTTGGTTTGTTTTTAACTGTAACATTCGTGAAGTTTGCTTGTGGCTTTTTCACTTTATTGTTATTATTGACATTTGTTATCAACGATTTAATTATTGTTTATTCTTTGTTTCTGCCTGTTAATGTGTGTTTTTCTGATTTCCGTATTTTTGAGCTTTAACATTTATATATCTTTATATCTTTACATTTTAATCCTAATCCATCCTGTATGTGGTGGGTTACCCGCTGTTAGGTGAGATTTGAAATACAATAAAATAGACTCGCATTGAGGCACCAGTAGGGTAAAAAGTATGGTGACAAAAATGTCACCTACTTAGGATAGCATAGGCCTAATCGTTAATATTTAACATAAAATCTGTAACGCATTATGCTTCTGGGCAGTTTGAACCACACTCTGTCTCTCGACACAAAGAGGAACTATTAAAGACTCAGCTATAAACGGTTTGGTTTTCAAAGCAGATAATTACTATTGCAATTAGTGCTGTTCATTAAACGTTGTAGTTCCAACATTGAAAACATCGGGATGCATTCCAGAACTAGTTTCAACTTGATGACAGCAGTCATTTGCATATTTTCCAATCAAAACACTAACTTATTTGAAACTGTGTAATACTTTATGTATTATAAATCCTGTGATTCCAATGTGCATGATAAAGTACAAACCTTCCGAACATTTTAATAAATTAAAAGGACAAACGTTAAAAACAGTTGTGGTAAACCAACTCCACAAGGACGAAATGTTTCCGACAGTCGACTTTATGAAGTACAAATGTTTACACCAGTGTTTGAAAGCAACTCCATAAGGGATAAGAGTTCCCAACAGCTTGTGGCTGAACAGCTCCATGAAGAACGCACGTTTCCAAAAACCTGTCTCTTATACACATCTAGATGTGTGATTTAGGGGGGGGGGCGGGCCCCCCCCCGCGGAGGTAAAAAAAAGGAAAAAAAAAAAAGAAAAAAAGAGAGAAAAAGAAAAAAATGATAGACCAGAATGCCTCAAATGTTATGTTCGGGCGTCTAGAACACAAAAATTTCGCGGGGGCATGCCCCGGACCCCCTACGACAGTGTTGTCTCAATCGGCCCAACTTTCGGCCCCCTCCCGGCCCCCCCTTTTGGACATTTCTGGATCAGCCCCTGAAAAAGCATTGTAGGAAAGCACCGTCCACGAAGGTTCAGCAGCTGTGGTATAAAGCAGCTCCACGAAGGTTAACATTTCCAAACATATTACTGTACAGTAGTTGTTGGTAATAAAGCCAGACTTCGGAGGGATAAAACTGAAATATTGTAAAACTGATTTTCATAAGACACAAAAAGGGTGTTTGACGAAAAAAACTTGGGAACGGTTAAGATTCAGATTTTTAAATACCTGTACTTCAACCCTGGATGTAAAAGGACGTAACCACCCTCCCACTCGCTTTTACATATTAAAAAATAACAGTTCCTGAGATCGTTGTCAAACACTCTTTTTTTGTCTTAGAAACATCAGTTGTACAACATGTCAAGAAAGTGTTTTCTACGACATAGATTGCATTTTTGGTCATAAATATAAATAAAACAAAATTTAAGTAAACACTTGTCAATATTTATTCATTTCAATATCAAAAAATATAAAATTGTTAAGTTGAAAAGTAAACATTGGTATAAAACGTTTAAACGAAAATTATCATTACAGAAATAGATAAAAGTTAGGAATACAGTATATTGATTTACCATGCATTAAATTTCTAAAGAAGTTTATCCTAGAATAAAAAAGAATAGCTGATGTGACCATGGAGGTATAATACCTCCATGATGTGACAAAACAAAATTTAAGATATAAATATTGTGTAACAATAATAACAATTAGAGGGCACTCAGAGAGTGCATACCTCCACCTACATCATAATTCTCCTCAGTATAAATACTGTCTCTTATACACATCTAGATGTGTATAAGAGACAGCAACAAGGTCAAATACAGTATTTGTTGGTCGGGCAACATCTATCAATAATGAAAATATTAATCTATCAACCAATACAAGTGATATTCATCGGTGAATGCGAGTTACCTGGAAGGAAATACAAGAAAATATCAGCCACAAACAACATGTTAAGGAAATATTTCCATCCGAATATGCCCACGCGATGATGGATAAAACATCAAAGAGAGGAACAAATACGATGTAGAATTAGAGGTGGTGACGCAATAAAGACAAAATTTTTAATTATTCACACTGCAGCGGGGGAAACAGAAAAACCTAATCCGTATAAAAACAAGAAATGCTACTTAAACATCGCATAGTAAAATTATTCTTCACTTGATTTAAAAGAATATAAATAACGAGGTTTATAAAACCAGATGATAAGTAGAATCATTTTTCGGTAAATAAAATGAGAAAATGTCTGTATTTACATAATGCCCTATTATAATTAGGTCTCACTTCACGACTTTGGTTTGTTTTTAACTGTAACATTCGTGAAGTTTGCTTGTGGCTTTTTCACTTTATTGTTATTATTGACATTTGTTATCAATGATTTAATTATTGTTTATTCTTTGTTTCTGCCTGTTAATGTGTGTTTTTCTGATTTCCCTATTTTTGAGCTTTAACATTTATATATCTTTATATCTTTACATTTTATTCCTAATCCATCCTGTAAGTGGTGGGTTTCCCGCTGTTAGGTGAGATTTGAAATACAATAAAATAGACTCGCATTGAGGCACCAGTAGGGTAAAAAGTATGGCGACTAAAATGTCACCTACTTAGGATAGCATAGGCCTAATCGTTAATATTTGACATAAAACCTATAACGCATTATGCTTCTGGGCAGTTTGACCACACTCCGTCTCTCGACACAGAGAGGAACTATTAAAGACTCCGCTATAAACGGTTTGGTTTTCAAAACAGATAATTACTATTGCAATTAGTGCTGTTCATTAAACGTTGTAGTTCCAACCTTGAAAACATCGGGATGCATTCCAGAACTAGTTTCAACTTGATGACAGCAGTCATTTGCATATTTTCCAATCAAAACAATAACTTATTTGAAACTGTGTAATACTTTATATATTATAAATCCTGTGATTCCAATGTGCATGATGAATTACAAACCTTCCGAACATTTTAATAAATTAAAAGGACAAACGTTAAAAACAGTTGTGGCAAACCAACTCCACAAGGACAAAATGTTTCCGACAGTCGACTTCATGAAGTACAAACGTTTACACCAGTGTTTTAAAGCAACTCCATAAGGGATAAGAGTTCCCAACAGCTTGTGGCTGAACAGCTCCATCAAGAACGCACGTTTCCAAAAACAGGGGCGGATTTAGGAGGGGGGAGGGCCGGCCCGGCCCCGGCCCCCTTTTTGGGAGGTAAAAAAAAGGAAAAAAAAAAAAAAAAAAAGAGAGAAAAAGAAAAAAATGATAGACCAGAATGCCTCAAATGTTATGTTCGGGCGTCTAGAACACAAAAATTTCGCGGGGGCATGCCCCGGACCCCCTACGACAGTGTTGTCTCAATCGGCCCAACTTTCGGCCCCCTCCCGGCCCCCCCTTTTGGACATTTCTGGATCAGCCCCTGAAAAAGCATTGTAGGAAAGCACCGTCCACGAAGGTTCAGCAGCTGTGGTATAAAGCAGCTCCACGAAGGTTAACATTTCCAAACATATTACTGTACAGTAGTTGTTGGTAATAAAGCCAGACTTCGGAGGGATAAAACTGAAATATTGTAAAACTGATTTTCATAAGACACAAAAAGGGTGTTTGACGAAAAAAACTTGGGAACGGTTAAGATTCAGATTTTTAAATACCTGTACTTCAACCCTGGATGTAAAAGGACGTAACCACCCTCCCACTCGCTTTTACATATTAAAAAATAACAGTTCCTGAGATCGTTGTCAAACACTCTTTTTTTGTCTTAGAAACATCAGTTGTACAACATGTCAAGAAAGTGTTTTCTACGACATAGATTGCATTTTTGGTCATAAATATAAATAAAACAAAATTTAAGTAAACACTTGTCAATATTTATTCATTTCAATATCAAAAAATATAAAATTGTTAAGTTGAAAAGTAAACATTGGTATAAAACGTTTAAACGAAAATTATCATTACAGAAATAGATAAAAGTTAGGAATACAGTATATTGATTTACCATGCATTAAATTTCTAAAGAAGTTTATCCTAGAATAAAAAAGAATAGCTGATGTGACCATGGAGGTATAATACCTCCATGATGTGACAAAACAAAATTTAAGATATAAATATTGTGTAACAATAATAACAATTAGAGGGCACTCAGAGAGTGCATACCTCCACCTACATCATAATTCTCCTCAGTATAAATATTTCCCACATATTGTCCCCATAAAGAAAAAAATTGAAAAAAAAAAAAAAGAAAAAAAAAAAGAAAAGAACAAGTAGACTCTATGGGATTTGAACCGGGGTCTTATAACCACTACACCAAACTGTTTTCACATATATTAACGGTCATATGTTTGTTTACACTTTACCGGCAAGCCTGTATAAGCACACACACAAGTCTAATACGGCAAACAGTTATACATATTTTTCGATCATTGTGACCTTGACCTTTGACCCTGACCCTTTCTAGTTCTAGATCTTAAGTAAAGGAACATTGTGGCCAAGTTTGATGAATTTCTGACACAAACTATGGGCTGTTAGCTGTTCACAACAAATATGCCAACAGACAAATAAATGACTAAATAAATAAACAGGCAAAAACATAACCTCATGCCAACTAATAATAATAATAATAATAATAATAATAATATGAATATGAATACAAGCATAAATGAGAAGATTTTAGGTAGGTTGCACACCTAGGTTTTCAATTTCTGTTCGCTGGCCACAACAAAATTGCCGCCAGGTCAGGCCAGGTTGGGGGGGCCCCCACACTTAGCTCACCTGGGGTATAGATTATTAAATCAATTGGCTGGTGATCAGATAATAAATATAATAATTTGAGAAGCTGGTAGTAGGCAGGTTTTTAATTTATTTTCGCATCTGGCCATGTATGGTCAACGACCTTTAGCCACAGAACACTATAGTTGGCCTGATGATGCATCCTGGATTTGAATGTGAAATATTGTTACTGAATAAACAAGCAAGTCAAGTAGAAAATATTTATAACCTAATATCGATCATATGGTATAGATTAATAAACCAATTGGCTGGAAATCAGTAGATAAAATCACAAAAACTGAATTGTTTCAATTGTCTCATTAAAAGTTAATATTTCATTTTTTTTTAAATGAGCAATTCTATGTTTATAATAAAAGAACAGTCAATGTATTGTTTCTTTTTCCACACTTTTTAAAAATATAGATAATCATAAACCTATATTCTAATATGAAGATTTTTTCCAATTGAACAAGAGAAATATCAGGAAATAATGGCAATACTTGACCAGAGTCAAGAAAGCTCGGAAGAAAGCATCTTAAACCTACATCCTGCCACTCATTCCAGCCAAGTAACTCAAAAAGAAATTACAAGAAACCCTGCATTAGTCTAAACCTCAATGACTTCCTTTCTTTCCTGTTTCCCCATTTCCTTCAGGAATTAAGATTATCCTAGAGGATAGCAATTTCCTAAAATTATCTGACATTTTCTCTAAAAATATTCGAGTTAATCTATCTCGGTTTTGATCTTTTTTACGACCGCTTTCTCGACAGTTACTAATTTCCTCATGAGTTTTTTAGAGTGTTTGTGAGTTTCTGTACTTTCATCGATTTCTTTCTTGATTGCTTGGTCAGGTTTCTCTAATGAATGTTTCTGTGAAGAAAAAAAAATGTTTTAATAATATTATATTGGCATTATTTGAATAAGCATATTCCTTTCTTTTTTGACACAGCCTTATTATAGCATGTTTGAGTCACAGTAATACCCTTATTAAGCAGACAACTTCTTGACCAAAAAAATGTCCAATCAAGAAAAGAGAGAGAGAGAGTCTATTGTATTTGTTGTGATACGATAAAAAAATACAGTGGCGTATCCAAGGTGGGGCGTGGGCGCACGCCCTCCCACAAAAAGCTTGCGCCCCACAGGCGCCCCCCATTCGAAAACTTTGAAGCAAAAAAAATTAGGCTAGGCTTATGCTGTCACGGTTAACGTGTATTCGGGAATCTAAGAAGCAATATTTTTCTGTGGGCGTGGCCACCAAAAATAAATTCCACGCCCCCTCATATTTTGGTCGCGCCCCCCACCAGCACCCCCATTTAATTACTGCTAGATACGCCACTGGTTCAATATGGGTTAAATAAGTGTTGAAATGACTATTCGCACACTCAGAAATTGTCTCTCCCCTTAATAGGGAAGGGCCGTAGTGATAAAAAGAGTAGTTTCTCTCATTTGATGGAGAAATATCCCTTTAATAGCAGTGGCCCAAAGGACAGGTTGTACTCTATACGGCACCTGGTCTCGCACCCACTTTGCTTGCTTCTTCACTTTCATTGGTCATTTTTTAATTGGCTCATACAGACTGCTATATTATGCGCTTTATAAATCCATTGATTGATTGTATCTATTGGTGAATAAAGATTTTACTATAATGAATTAATGTGTTCATTAAATATCAGAAAATAAATTAATCATTGATTTTATCTGGAATAACATACAATCAGTGCACAAGGTACCCATGATACTAACAGAGAGGGCAGCATTTACATATGATTCCTCATCACATGATGTTCTGTGTTCAACATTGAAGGTTATGATACAACAGGTGGTGTATTACCAATAATATTTAAGGTATAAATTCCAACATAAATTGATTTATACCTTTTGGCCTTGAAGTTCTTGGAATTTACGAAGATCAGCACTGAAAAGTACCTGAATATTAAAAAGAATAATACTTTTTGTTTACCATGATTTATATCTCTATTGTTTCTATTTACACTATGTATCTACTGTAATGTAACAATGACCCTTCACACACAAAATAAGTTGCACATCATGTAAAGTTGAGATAATACATTACAACATGAATTCTGGCATACATAGTTTTCAAGTACTGTACTATATTTTAAGTATCAACATTATATGTTACATCATAAACGTCATGTATTGTGACTTAGTTGGTTTATGAATATATTTATTTTCTATTTGCATTGAGATGATAACATAAAGATATTGGGTTTGAAACAGAATTGGTTGCTTGTTTTTACTGTTTATTGCACTGCTGTTCAGCACACAGAAACCAGGAACCCCCCCCCCCAACCCACATCCAATGATTCAATGACAACCCACTGACTACAGCCTCAGTTCAACCAAATGTAGATCTCAACATACTAATCAAGAGAGAGATATTACAACAAATATTTACCGAATGGGCCCATCCAGCATATTCTCCAAACATTTGTCTATAAGTGTCACCAATTTCTTTGTAGATTGTGGCTGTCAAGGACTTGGCAGTCTTTAGCTTTGGCATGTAGTCCCGGGCGGATATCTGCCACACATGAGTGTCCACAGGGATAGCTCCTGTCTTGTCCAACGAGAACAGACACACACAATCAGCAACCTACAGCAAATGAATACAAATGTGATAATCATAAATAATAATTCAAATAATAAACATCCTAATAACAAAAATTAGAAATGATAAACAACAATTTAATAAACATAATACAGGTAAAGAAATATATTTTAATACTACTAAGATATGTAATAATTGTACAGTAATAAGTAATATACTGCATCAATTAGTAGTGAACAATGAAAATTGATAATAAGCAATAAAAAATTGATTTCTTTAAGCATAACAATAAAATCATAATATTTGAGTCAGTTTTAGTGTAAGAGCCCCTCGTGAAATATATATTGTTGAATTTACCTTCGGGCCTACGCCCTTGAGTTTCAGTAACTCTGCCTTGGCTTCAGTGTATGTCACATTCCGTAAAGATTCTAACCAATCACTGCCACCATTTTGCATAATAAAATCTGCTGAACTGCTGATATATCCTGCTCGGTAACCAAATCCAAGTTCTCGCAAATGAGCCTCAACTTTGCGTTTGCTAAGGCTGGCTACAGTCGGGAAAGAGTACCAAACTTCACCGTCCACCTCCATCAGCCTGTCTCCATAATGTGTACAAAGAGCATTAACCATGCCGGTTATCCGTGAGATATTGTTATTTGATGAGCAAATAAACGAAAAAAGGTTTTCCGTTGGATCGATACGGAGTGTACGAACACCAGCAAATCCAGAGGAAATCTGGGAAAAATGTTTGTCAGATTTGCTCCAAGTAACGTAGAGTTCTTCTAAGGATGTGTTTAACTGAAAGTAGTCTCGAAGAATGTCCTCATCCGAAACCTCTTCTTGATTCTTCGCGACATGTTTACTGCTCTTACATTTTTTCAATAGTACTTTCTTGTCCAATGTTTGTGGCTTGTGAACCTGGTAGAGTAAAGTTCCCTCATCTGCTTGTGTAAGAGTCCAGACCCTACCAGCTAACACACTACGAAAAACACCTGGCTTAATTTCTTTCCACCTGTAAAAGAAATGATGTATTTTTATGTTTTTAATTTGTACTGTACAGGTTGTTCCATAATTTATGCCCAACTTTGACATTCTAACATTTCTTTGGGCAAAATCACAATGTATGATTTGACTTTTACGAACACTTACAAATTAAGGACTGGTTTTAAATTAGAAATCCAGTACTGAAAAATGCCTTTTGATTGGCCATCCTCTACATATTGTCAAGAAACAATTCCAATTCTTATGATTCCACCAAAATCTGCCCAATTTTGTGTTCAAAGATAACTACGAGGGCTTACACCAAAAGAATTAAACTACTACAAAATATTCTGGAAATAAAATAGTAGATACTGATATTACAGTAGTCACATGGCCTTAGTGTTTGGTTTGCTTTAAAAGGCAGGTATACACTATTGGATCAGACTTTATCTAAGGTAATAGTGTATGCTTCCTTTAAATGTTGTCATCTGATACAACAGATAATGCTAATCATATAATCACAATACCAGGTCAATATTTGATCAAATACTGCATGACAGCAACATGCTTCTTTTAAATTTTGACAAATATTTTATGGTTAACATAAACAATATGATTTTATTTTATCTTATTTGAAAAGACATGAACAAACTATACATATAAAGCACAATAAAACAAACCAGATCTAAGACCAGGATAATTAAAAAGATGGCTTATTTCCATTGGGGTCCAATATACTGTATTTTAACCAATCAATCAATCTATCAATTGCTAGTATTTGTATTGTAGCGGTTACCAAAACAATGTTCTGCTTTGTGGCATATTCATATCATTGACAAGTTTTCACCAAACTTGCAAATTGCAGAATACTGCGGAATGGCAGTCAGCAATATAAAGGTATACATTTTTTTTATTGTGTCAAGTGTAAAAATCATTCTGTTTTCAATAATCAAAACACAAATTCTCGGCAGTTTCACTTTATACAATTACTGTGTACCAACATACCTGTCTTTGTCCTGTTTCGTCATGTCTTTCACTTCTGTATGTCCAGTCACCGTTTTGTCCATTCATGTTCTCTACACTATTTTATTTCATATCTTGGGCACTGGCACCTGACATTTGTGGGCTGTGCTTTATTTCTCTTGCATGTATTCTTGTGAAAGGTTGCCATTTATTGTCCTCTTCTGCAGCTGCCCACAACTCTTACACAAGCTTTTTGTTTTTTATTGTCCACTACATGAATTATATATAACTTGTTTTTCCATAATATGTGCAAACAAATCATGTCTGTATGCTCTGATTTATCAAAGTCTGATCACTTTGACAGACAAAAATATGAAAGTGTTTGCATGGATTTTGTAACATACACAAAGTTAACAACAATAATAATAATAATAATAATAATAATAATAATAATAATAATAATAATAATAATAATAGTTGACAGGGACACACCTGCCTTAACCTCTCGGCCATTCACCTAGCCTCGAATGGCAGGCAGTTACAATACATTTTCTGTCTTTTTATATTTCAAAATTCAGTACAATATTTTTAAGTTCTTTAAAAATTATTTTAAAATAATACAAACATACCCACGGAATACAGTTATCGCCACCCATGTTTTCACCCAGTCAAAAGCTAATTTCATGACCATCCAGCACCTTTATTAACCCCCTTACCCATCATTAAAGTCCATTTGTTAGAGTTTACCAATGTTATCACTTATCTACCCATAAAATGATGACCACCCACCCTTAGGTTTCTACAGCTACAACCCTGGTACCCATAAAAAAAAGGGTACTCAAGCCATAGTTGTTAACACAAAAAAGATCTTTCCCCAGTTGTCGAGGCAGTGTCACTCCTCCATGCAGTGTAAACACAGATACTCACAAGGGAGTTTGTTGAGCTTAGACAATATCTAGTAATGGAGAGTTTCACTGTGGAGCACTTTAAATAAAGCAACACTGCGTCGAGTGAAGAGGAGATGGTATAACCGCAGAAAAACTTAACCTTTGGTAAAGCCTGGTTTCCATAAAATCGAACAGCGTTTTCAGGGCAATCGTTGCACTGCATAGCAGTCCCCAAGGCAATCGGGAAGGCTCCCCGATTCAACAGACCAATAAGCATCACCAAAAGCTGTCAGCAAAAGTGTGCAGCAATTGCATGGAAACCAAGTTTTAGTTGTGAACCATGTTTACTGTTGTACAGTATAAGAGATAAAGAAAGAAAATCACTGGAAATGAATGAAGTGCCTCGTCCTCCGTCACCGCCTGCACCAATGGTTTCTGAACAAGATGAAGATGTGACTCTTTCCCATTGTAAATTAATTAAATGGGACTGAAAAAATTTAAATTAAAGGCTTTTACTATTAATTGTAATTGGTTTTTTTTATTTCAGTCTTTGACCATCCAAGAACTAAATCTGCTTGACAAAAAGAAAAAACCGTCGCTGTTCACAAAAAATTTAAGCGTCCAAATATTTGGACACATTTAGAATGTCAACCCTTGAGAGAAAAGCCTCAAATTGCATGAAAACGCAGGGGGACTGGGCCCTAAACCATGAAAAGGTTACTGAAATTAAAGGTGAGTTGGATACTTAAATATGCATGTAGGGAGTTCAAACCTTTTTATTGGCTTGCCGAAGAGTTCTTTACACCGTCTCCAGTTGCTGCAGAACAGATCCGCCCTGTGAGTCATGTACTAGCCGGTCTTTGCACCTCAAATTGCTGGTAAACGGAAGCAGTGATGTGGGTTATGGTCGTTTTTCTGGTAGCCTTTAGTTTAAAAGGATAAGCTTTTCATGGTTTTCACAAGCGCCTTGAGCACTTTAGTGGAGATGTGCGCTTAATAAATCTTATTATTATTATTATTATTATTAAACCTCACTCTGCACATTTACATGTTAAAAGACAAATGGCAGAAAATATGTCTTTTGCTTTCAAAATGTGTTAAGAATTGTATAATTTTTACATATGATCTCCCAATTTGTTTAAAATCTTTCATTTCAAAGTAAAATTTATACAAAATTTTGTATCTATTCGAACATAATTGTAGTAATATCAATCTAGCGGCAACGACGGTTGGTTGCTAACAGGATCTCCATCACATGTATCATGAGGAACGACGATTTAAAAGCCTCTTGGACACACTGGAAATGAATGGTTGCATGGAATTGGAGCACTGCAGTTAATTCAATGCGCTGAGTTGCCAAGATTGACTTCCAGAAACAAGTGAGAGCATGCTTTGGGTGTCTCCGTATAGACTATAGAAGTAATGCGTGTAGAAGTTGGTTGAAGTGTAATGATCCACACCCAATGACACTTCAGTGGCAGATTCAAGGTGGCCCAACGAGGAGAAAAAAAATGAAAATATTAATCAAATTTAGGACTGAGGAGAGTGCCATTTCTGGCCATCTAGAGGTGCCGTCTTACCTTAGCCCCAAACATGGTGGGGCTGAGTTTGGTGTAGACTATCTGTGAAAGTCCTTCCCTGGGCTCCCTATATTTCGAATTCCTGGACCCGCCGCTGCTCTTCATACAGACCCAAGCCCAGGGTCGATGAACAAGAAGTATGAAAAGCAATTGGTTTGGTCTGATGCAAGATGCGAATGTACCTAAGCTATTACTAGCAGTGAAGTTCAGGTCCAAGAATGGGAGGAAAGTACTAAGAAAATGCCTTTTTTGATCCAAAATGAAAAGAATGACACAAAATGGATAAACTCAAGATATAGATAGATTTTAGGAAGGTAAAGGCAAGGATGCTGTGCGCAAGAATGCCAACTGTAACAGGAGTTACTGTTTTTTTTTGTTAAGATTTTAAAATATATTGAGGGTCATCACACAGTATTTGCTTGCGGATATTGGCCTATCGATTAATGCTTCAATATTGGAATAGACAATGATGTAGTGAAATTGTAAAATACAACTGATCTTGAAGAAAAAGTATTTGTTCTATATCATGTGCTTGTCCCTGTCACAAGTGCATCAGCTTAAAGGGTATTCAACATGCAGTAAAATACCCATTTTTGGTAGATGGAAATAAGAAGAGACTCCAAGCACCCTTATTCACACAACTCCTTCAAAGATCTATCAGGTGTAAGTTATTAAAGCGCAAATTGAAGCTGACACTTCTAAAAACCTAAATGCAAAAGAGACTGGACTTCTCCTTTCAGAATATTGCTGATCTTCAGAAATGGCTAAAAGAACATAAAAGGAAAAATGCAGAAAAGAAAGTTAAGGGCAAATACTGCTAATGGAGACAAGCGGCTAGGAATAAAAAAATAGTTTTAAAAAAAATGAGGCTGTGACTCACTCTTAAGGACCAAAATTACACAAATCAATCGTGATGTTGGTAGTCTATGAGTGAGATACTTACCTGGATAACCGACTAATTGCCATTGTTCCCAAACGAAACACCCCTTCGAAAAAAAAAAATGGAACAGTCCGACCCAAGGCGCCACGTTCGAACCGTCTCCCTAACAAATGTCCTCATTCCCTTTTCGACGTTGTTCGAAGTCGGATCTAGCCTTTGAAAACTAGCAGGACTTTTCAAGCAATTCTGTTCTCCTTGGATTTATTTTTGCCTTGGATTTATTTTCAACTAATGGTTGACAAGATATCTTTTTTATTGTAGTCTCGATCGGTTTCCATGTCCGCTCGCAAGTCTTTATGTCTTTTTGTGGGGGCCCCAAACCGAGTGTTAAGCTCGACCGGCACTCGGAGTGCCCGTTGTGTCGCTCGTGCAGCAAGGCTGAGCCTTGCGAGATTTGTGCGTGCTGGCCCCCGACTAAGTTTGCGGCGGCTCTGGATTGGGCAGCTCAGGCTGCCACTCGATCTCAGAGTTTGCTGCCGGCTGCGTCAGGGGTTGTAGCGGCGCCGGATGACTCTCCTCCACCGCTCGAGGGTTCGTCGGCTTCGCGTTCGGCGGGTCCTTCCCCTCCGCTGGACCCGGCGCTGGTCCAAAATCTCATGCATAAATGTAATATTGCCTATAAAAAAAAATATGTGTATACTTTGTAGCTCTCTCGCTAAATATCCATCATTACGGTGCTTAAAAATAAAATAGGATTGGTCTTGTCATTACACATTTGAACACAAACAAATGGTGGCGTATCACACCCTGGTTGATATAGGAACTGTATGGTTGTGGTAGGTTGGATTTCTCTCAACCATTCAAATTATGAAGCATCTAGGAAAAGATTTTTCTGGGGTGAGGGAGGGGGTGGGGCATGCCCGGGATCCCCTAGGGCAGGGGTTTTCAGAACAAAATCTCCTGCCTGCAAATTAGTCTACCTTGGCATTTATGAACTGTACTTAGGTGGCTAACTCAACCATGGTTTCCCAGGTTAATAAATATGTTGGTTGATCACCCTATTATCTTACCAAAGACAAAGAACACATTGAAATTGGAAGGTTCCAATGATATACACCCACTTTCACAAAAATTAAATCTGATTTCTTGTAGGTTATCTTTGAGTCCCTTGATTTAAAAAGACTACCAATCCAAGCTCAAAACATTATACTGGCCTCATGGCGGCAGTCTACTCGAAAGCAGTACCACAATAATCAGAAGATGAATTTTAGATGATACAGTCTGTACTGTACAAACATACTGTAAATAAAAGTTACTATTTCATATTTTACTATTATTTTTGGCAGATAAAAGGAGAGTCACCTAGGGTGTCCTGCTGTATATTTGCAAACTAAAAAAAAGGAAAATATGCAGGCATACCCGCAAAAAAAAATACAGACCTCAGCCCCAATCATGATGGGGATGAGATAACACAGACTTTCTATTTACGAATTCCAAACCATACAGTAGCTCACTCTTTAATTAACAACGGATCAGCAGCAATGTTTCACTTTTGGAACTTTGATTGGTTTGATTGAGAAAAAATTGTAACTAACTTGCAGCTTTTTCTGTTTCAGGTTGAAATCCGAGAATGACCAAAAAACAATAAAAAGAGAGAACACAGGAAGAAATGGTAATGGGTTCCTTCAGCGGAAGCTGGACTACCACAAACAAATACACGAAATATATGTATCTCTTCATGCAGTACGTGTTCTAGTATCTGGGTATGCCAGTGCTTGCATATACCCTGTATTTAGTGATGAAACCAAAAATGCTTTTGGAGAACAGTTTTGCTGATCAGAAAGCTCAAGATGCCTTTCTTTCTGGTGGGATATCGCCTAACCCAGTACAGCGTAGACATGGAAGACAGGATGATTGTCCTCA